AAAATTCAGAGTCCTTCTTCAGGAGGTAAAAGTCCCTTAGCTGGTCAAAACATTCCCCTCCTCCTACGTAACCCTAGGGATATAGAAGTTGGGTCAATTTCTATCAGACTACAAGACGGAAATAGAAAACATTCGGAGAGTCTTAGTCAACAAATTATAAGTAAGCGACGCGGGGGTCAAAGCTGTGACCCCGCTCTTTCGACATAAAAAGGAACACCCATAAAAATATTAAGACGCGCGTTTTTATGCTCTCGCCACAAGTTCGTTTCTGGCTTCTCCTGCTCGTAAAAAAAACATTTAAGCTGCAAGCCATAAAATCTGCTCAGTGGGTACAGAGGCTGGGCAGAGAGCTCTCTCCGGACTTCAGACAGCGAGGGACTTTCCTACGACTGTCCTAGTGGTGGACAAACGACTCTCAGCTACGACACGAACAGCACAAAAGGCTGTCTTCCGCGATGCAGCACCGTCAGATAGATATTGGCCGACGTTTCGGAGAAGCTTACTGCCTCCATCAACAGGATAAGTCTCCCCCACCCAAGTTACACGTCACATTCCCCTTGATCTGATGAGGTTTTTGTTTTATTTTTAGTGTTCCTGGTATGACGCCTCCTTCGGGCACAACAGACCCATTCACCTCCTTGACTGCTATTGTCGATTCTTCTCGGGTATCAGGAAATTCCCGACGGAAATTACTGTCGATGACAGCATCGCCAGGGATTGCACAGAGGCAAAGTTCTGCAGGTCATGTGTGAAGGTCCACAACAAATCGATATTCAACGTTATCTTCAACTCTCGATTTTTAAATACGTAGCAAAGATTAATCAGTCAGAGAAAACAAGCAAAGGACTGGATATTTTAAATGAGTTATCGTTTTCTGAAAAGACATTTCGCTAATCAGCGTACACCGGTTACTCTCAAAACCTGAGTTAAATCCTATCAAAAATTCTTTCCATGTTTTATGTTTCTGGATAGGAAAGTAAATTTGTCATCAAAACGAAGTACACCTTTCAGTCTTGCGAATGTCCTCGACTCTAGAATTACGATTATAGACTGGGTGCTATAAGGTCGTTCATATTAAATGAAGATGAATGTTTTAATCGCAAAGTTATTATTTCGTTGTAAAATAATGAGAAGACTCTAACCATCGCATTAGAACACGCACGGTGGTTGCCACACACTTCCTGAACTAGCTGACGTGAGACCCTTCTGAAATTCAGCGATATGCAGTGAACAGCTGACGATTCTAGTCCATCACCATAAAGGAAGGAAGTAGTACAATTCTTTTTCTTAAATAGGCAGACAGATGTTCCTCTTTAAAAACCTACGTCACCTCAAAGTCACTTCTTTGTTATTAAGAGAAGTCAGAAACTTTGAGACGCAGAGCTGACAATATGACGCAACTTTATCATCTCATGAATATAAGTAGATCGGTGGAAAAATCGGGACGTTCAGTGCTCCAAGGGTGCGTAACCCAAGTATGCTCTATTGCAGGTCAGCTATCTTTTGGGGTAGACGTAAAGAAAATAATTAAATTTAAAAATAAACCAGGGCTTAATTTGTGCCGGGACACATTTCGGATCTTTTTTTTTTTTTAAAAAAAATTTCTTCGAGAAATTGTTATTATTCTAAAGGAAAACGTTCAATTCGAAATCAGTGGCGTTCCGTTAAAGTGTGAGGCGAAAATGAGAACTAATTTCCATTTCAAAAACCCCGACGGTCGTCAATTTTGAGCACCGTTTCGTCTCAGCACAAATTAAGTACGTATATGGTGAAAATTTAAATTTGTTCCCGCTAACCACAAAGACGAGTGGCGCGTCCACGTTCTCGGAGCTCCTACAGTTCATCTGAGAGCAAACCCAGGATTTATGTTCGATTCCCTGGATCGAAAAAAAGCTTACAAACGCGTATAATTACAAATATAAAAATTCAAAACAATACGAACCAAAGAACGTAATTTAATAACACTGTTCGTCAACGCGTTGTGACCTAAACTCCACGTAACAGAGCCCTTGAAGTAAAGAGATCACTCAGAAGATCTAGTAGTAGATGACAGTTTCCTAAAAAAAAGAGCGTTTGAAGTATGTGGATTGAATTAATCTGGCTCAGAGTGGGTACAAGTGACGGAGTTTGTGTGAACGCGGTAATTAAGTCTTGGGGTCTAATAAAAGTTAACCAAGGTTTCCCAACAAAATTTTTGGAATAATTTCTCGTCTCTAAAAAAAAAGGTTAAATTTTTTTTAAAAAAAATCTCCGATTTCGACGAAAAACGAAAATGCGAAAGTTGAGTGGAGTTAACTGCGAATCAGCACGTCTACGATGACGTACGCGAATGGTTATGCTCGCACATATAAACAGTCATGTTATCAGCAGACCTCATTAGTGCAGCGATAAGTGCGAACAAAACAACGGAAGTACAGCTGTACGAGTATAACGCAAATACAAAGCGTCTCTCAGAATAGAACGAGAAACAAACCATCGCTTCTTCTCCGCGTTCGGTTTCGTACGATTCTCATAACAAACATCGATCATCTCCTTAAACAGCGGCAACCACTTCATCATTGCGATGGTGAAGTGCGGTGTTTTCTTCGCGGTACGGGCTGGATTCTTAAATATTATTTAGACGAATTCCGAGCTTCGAAGGGTGTTAATGCTAATCGTCCTCTCAAAGATAAATTATTTCTGTCTCAGAAGGAAACTCATCTGTTTTTAATATCACATGTCACAGAGATAAGAGATGAATTTTTCGAAGACAATTACGTCTTTATTAAAACAAGCTTCGTGCTTTATTCTTTGTGGTTTCTGATCCTAAGGAAAGAACACAGACTGGGGTGTTTGAGATATTTGGAACTGAAGAAAATCACGTTCGTAATTTGTATCGTTTAACGTACAGGAGGATGGGAACCGACGGTCATGTAGCATGAAACATAGGAAAATAAATACAAATTTGTCGGAAAACCACACAGGAAGTAATTTTTTTTAAAAAATCGAAGAAGTTTTTAAGAAAATGAAAATATAATGGTTTTTAGGGTACTATATGAAATGACTAGCGATAAGGAAAAGTTTGGCCTATTTAAATACGATAATTAATCAGCGGGTTTCTAACAGGAAATGTTTTTGAACACCTCGACGACTGACAGCTTTTCAAGAAATATCGTTCTGCATTGTAATTTGCGTCGTTACCAAAGAAACCATTAGGAGTAGTCATAAGTTTAATCGTAAGTGGCCTAAGTGGCTTACGAGTCGTAAAAACAGCGTTGATATACTCTCATTCAGACACAAATGTCTTTTTTAGGAAAAAAACACGTCAAGGTAACGAAATTATATGTCAGGTCCGCGTGAAGGTTAAAACAATCTCGCGATCTACGAGACACAAAAGCATCCAGACACTGGGACACGTATTCACAAGGCACCTTGCTCGTTTCTCCTACTCGTCGACAGGACACAAATAGGGGGAAGACACTGGATTTTTATTAGGAAGGTTCCCGGTTCGTTTCTCGGACGGAATGTTGTCCAATGAACCTTTGGATGAAATGAGGGAGCTTGTTTATTTACCACGTAACCGAGAGTGTATTGTTAGCTTCTGAAGAAGGACTCTTCTCCACAAAGAGCAGACGAGAGAGAATGCGAAGTGCTGATGTGTGGAGGATGCGACAGGACTTGTGAAGGCGGGCCTCACACGTCCGAGCCAAACAAAGCGAGAGAAAGCATCTCGCGTCGTTCACATTAATGTTTACAGAGAGACGGAGACGCGAGACGCATACTAAGTTTCGAGGCACGTATGAGAGGAGCAGTGAAAGTGTCACGATTTGGGGGGGGGGGACAGATTCCACGTATCAATTATTCTGGCCACTGCCTCGACACCCAACAGTCCCTCTCCGGGAAGCTAAAAATCGCTACGCTAACCTAGAAATTTCGTGTCTTTTATGGAACAAATCAACAATTTTTAAGATAATTCTTTTAAAATTTTCATCTCATATACTAATCAAAGGTACTCTGAGTGGTCTCTTACCTTCAGGTTTTCAGACCAGAATTTTGTAAATGTGTCTCTCGCGTCTGTCTAATGCATTCTACAAGCCCCGCCCACGTCATCCTCCACAGTCTAAAGATCCTAATAACAGGTGAATACCTAAACTGTGCAGGAATTCTACAGAACGCGCCCACACAAAGCCTGAGCCACAGACGTTGAAACCTCGAAATTATATAAACAAAAATTCGTCGAGCAATCTTTCCTGTTAAGCTAAATGGTCGCTCATCTACTCAAATGTATGAAGCCTAACACTCCTCTGTAAGAATTCTATATCAGTTTCTCAAACTTGCAGCCCAGGGGAACCTGGAAGGTATTTCAGACGCTAATGGTCTGATTACAGTGTACGCATATCGATAAGAAAATTACATATTCAATTACAAACAGATTTTACGTATCTTACTCCATTTACAGCATGAAAAAATGAAACAAGCACAGGCATCTACCGGGTAATGTTAAAACTAGAAAGCAGGGCTACGACAGTGAATAGAAGATCCAAAAAGCAACGGCTTCTGCCATCTATTAAGCAAAGAGCAAACTACAATATGGCGCGTAAATTAGCCTACCTGATCACAACGCTTTAGTCCAGGATCTTCCTGATTCGTTTTCTGTTGAACCACGAGCTGAAATCAAAAATAAATACTTCTTATCTGTATGCAAATAACTGCTATCTGAAAGTGGCAGTTTTTGGGTTGTTGTTCCATGCAGTCTCATAGAATTTGAGCGACGTTTCAGAGGCGTTCAAACCTCTGAAACGTTGGTAATGGCACAACAATCCAGGACACAAAACGTCTTCATATTTACTGCCATGAGAACCTAAAAGTTAAAATCTGTTCTGAATTCAGAGAATGGTTTATTTAATATGAAATAATTAAAATATTCACGTCCATTTTTGTCAACTATGAAATTATGTCTGATATTAAGTGGGATCAGTCAGGGTCTCATGGGGATTAAGAACAATACTAAGATATATATATATATAAGGAAACTAAACTTTAATAGAAAATAACACGAAGATGCAGCCTGCACCTTGTAGAAATTTACTTATGTTTCAGAAGGGCACATTGCGCGAAGTAGATCCCAGGGCCAAAACTTGGCTACCAATTGATTTTATGTGAGACAGAACTCAGTAACAGCAACTCAAATTACCTCTTTATCACTACTCCAGAAATATAACTTAAATTTACAAGCCACTTAAATATCTCTATAAAAATATTATGTAAAACATAACCTAACATTTATATTTTACCTTTTCTGATGTTTCCTTAACCCAATTGTTTCATGACTTTGTTGTGAGTCCCAAGTATTTTACGGCATCATTTGAGTCCAAGAATAATGACAACTCATTTCTCTGAAGAATATTTTATAGCATTTCAATGCCAGGAACAGCAGTTAAAATGGTAAACGGGGAAATGAATCTGAAAAGTGGATAAAAATTGTTTTATTCTCTCGGTGTCGATCAACTTGTGGCCTAAGCACCGCACGTGGTCCTCTTTGACATTTTATGAGGCCCAACCGAGTTCTTCCGCCCACATGACGGCCCCAGGAACAGTCGCCCGTTTTTATGTGGCCCTTTCTCTATGTTGAGCGTGACAAGCCCAGTGCGGGTGTACTTTTTTTTTTAAAAAACTTTACAATTAAAATCATGTGAACACTTTACAAAATGTGAGGATGGAGGATGAGTGAAATGGTACTAAGGTATATTCTTTATCTGATATGCATCTTATACAGTACGAAGCTCTGACGGCAAGGCACCTAATACAGGAAACAGTTAAAGTACGTAACTGTCGTACTGCAAATATCACCAACAATCATTACGAACAAACCAAAATCATTCTTCAAGGTATTAAAAAAATACAAAAGGTGTTAACCGTGTTCAATTTCGACATCTGACGCACATGCAAATTTTTCATCATCGGTACCAGCCTTAGAGTCCTTCAAGGCATCCAACAAACCTGACGTACCCCAGACATTTGAATCGCCGGACGAACTTTGGTCACGTTTATTTATCCCTGAATTAAAATTCATAAATTTACCACCTAATCTCTGATATCTGCCACGTCCTCGAGCGAAACCCAACGGTTTTCTAAATGTTTCTGTGCGCGCACCCGTCTGTGCTTGGTGGGAAGACGTGGCTTCTCCCAACTCATTTCCTTCTTCAGATTTTTCATTACATTCCTCGACATTCCCACAATTTAAGGCCTTGAGAGACCGAGGAAACATGGCTACTGATTTGGATTCTGATTTTGGTCTTCTAATTTTCGTTTCGCATTTGCCATCACCTGAAGAAGGATCCACTTCCATTACGGAGTCCAACAGATCGTCGTTACTTTGCTTTGGTTTGCGATGTTTAGTCTTCTGCTTTCTGGCATCGTCAAATCTGAAATCGTGAGGAAACCGGTGTGCGTCTATGCAATGGCGACGCCTCTCCTGCGGCGCTGCAAACATGCCATCGCACTCTTCCACGAAGCAACGGTACTGAAAAAAGGAAAACATTCTGCTATTGTTTTGTTTATAATATCAAGCGGACAATTTAAATTCACAGACAACAGTGAAAGTAATTAAATTTTGGGGAATTTATTTTCACTAGTGCACATGCAACGTAACAGGATTTTATAACAGAACGTACCATTGGTTTCCTCTGTGCCTGAGCTCGGAAAAACGAGTCGTGGTTCTCGGAAATGTGCAGGTCCAACAAATGTGGCGAAGGCAGTCGCTTGTTGCATTCGCTGCAGAAGTAACGATGCAACGAGTTATAATGCAACTCGTATTGTAGCAATGAGTCAAATTCAAGGTTACAGCCAAAAACATGGCATGGAAATTTGGCGACACTGTGAACAAAGAATGAATAGTTAGTTTCAACTTTACGCCAGAAAAACAGACGTAAACAACTCTACCGAACAGAGCCCTCTTTGAAGATCCTTGTTTGTGCTGAAATATGAAGTTCAATTGAATCTTCAAATCTTTCAGGACATTGAGTCAGAGATATTCACATTTTCACAATCAGTCTCTAAGACAGTGTTTTTTAACCGGGGTCCATAACTTGAGTTGATTCTATTCTTTAATTTTCTATATTTTAAGCCTTCCACATCAGAGTTAATAATTGTGGACCCACCTAAGGAGCATTACTGCTTGAATGAAAGGTTCATCATCATTGAATTACTGTAATTTTGTGATGGAACATGTTCCTTGAAACTCAAAACATACCAAACACTGATTAATCACTAATAATCAATTATATCTTACATTTCATGACACAAATCTTCATCATCTATATCCACAACACCTTCTCTTCTATATGCTCTGCACACAGCATCACCATCCGCAAAGAATGGGTCAGAAGGCTGCCTGCGACCCACTCCAAGTTTAAATAATGCATCAATCTTTGACATAACCAGAAACTGTAAAGTTAGAATGTACATATTATATAGGTACATTACAGCAGATTATATCTTAACTATTACCGGCCCCATATCAACGTTCTTATTTTAAAAGCAAATCAATTGTGTACTAAATCAGAAAGCAGTACATTCAGTCTGGGATGTTCAGAACTCCTGAAGTTCTGCCAAACATTTTATCCCAAAAAATATATAAAAAAACTTGCAATTAATATAAACATGAAGATAGCTGTCTTAAAACCTTAAATCCTACACAATATAAACATGGCATAATGTAACAATCCATGGACTAGTAAAGTTTCTAACCTCAACATACCTGACTTGGATACTGAAAATAAGTTCATACTACATGCTTGTGTACTTTTATTTCCCATTAAATTCACATGACTACGAAGACTAGCAATTGTTATCTAATTAATGTAACAAATGAGAAAACAGGAATGTCCTTCACATAAATGCCAACTTATGTTATTCCACATTCAAATATAACTGTTTAATTTTATGCCTCAAGCCTGAATGCAAATTCTTGTGCAAATCTACGCACTGTAATTCACATGATACACCCATCAAAAGTGAAAAATGTTGAAATTTGCAAATACTAATGATGTACAAAATGCCACTTTAAAATGTTACCATTTTGGCGCCAATTACCTTACTACAGATTACAATCACATCAATACAATATCTTTCGCATATTAAAAAATACGGATGTATAAGTCATATTTGTTGAAAACCCCGTACTTTCTGAGTGAAATCTCGGGTTCTCACGACGACAAATATAAAAAGTAATCGCCCTGGAAATCGACGCAATAAACAACACGACAACCCACGTCAGATCAAAGCCTTTCGACAACCATGAGTCAGATGGCAGCCATTTTCAAACGTAATGTCTGTATTGTGCTGCTACCTGACCCAGTGGTAGTACTACAAGGATGACGGAAAGGTGATATCGGTGCTCAGCCGATACAACAGTTCGCCACTATTCAATATAAATAATCCACCACACCCCTCTATTGTATTTGTTTAGTTTTAATTCAAACGGATGTGGCTTGGCCAAATGTAAGGTACTAACTTGGAACATGTCTGGAGGAACTAAGAAAAACCACGAAAAGGTTAGGATAACTGGTCTCCAAGCTGATACTTAAACTAAGACCTCCAGAACAAAAACAAGGGCTCAATTACCGGTGATGTCAAGGGATGTTAAGGCTTCATAAATTAATAGCAATGCATACTTCTATGTTAATTAGACCACCCACTTGATAAGAGATGGAATTAATTACAGATGGTCTGATCTGTTTTTGGAAGACTGAAGGCCTAACCCTTGATTGTGAAGACTACAGAAATGGTCTGTAAATAAGCTAAAGTTTTAATGCAGGTATCCACAAAATTTAAAGATATAATGTAATCAAATAATATATTCTCCCATTTATTTTAAATAAGACTCTATATAAAAAAGACTGGTTGTGCATTTATGAAGAAAAATAGTCCTCATTTCATAAAATAAGAGTAGGAAGGAGGTATTATGAGGTTCAGCTGTTTATGAAAGAAAAATACAACACCATTACATCAGAAATAATATATTGCATATGACTTTAAACAGTACAAAAATAATATCATAAAATGTATTCAAATATTCAAAGATATTTAATAAAGAATCACTTAAATTAATAATGTCATCATCGGTTTGGTTAAAAACCTTGTCAAAAAATGTTATATTTGAATATCATGAAAGTCTAAGAATAGTGGCACCCCTTGAAACAATTATAGAAACCATGTCTGCCACCATTAATTATGAGTTCTATGACATTTTTACTGTTACCTGGAAAATGTAGTGATACAGATATACAAGGTTTTTAAAGTAGGCCAATGTTATGCAGAAATTCAAATCTGAGACTACATACGGACACAGTAGATGAATTTCTGAAAAATGCAACATAAATGAAAATAAAATAAAGCCTTCCCATTGAATGCCAATGTTGGCATGTATGGGAGTGGAGGTATATCTTCTGCTAATTACCAAGCTCTGCCCTAGAAGGGGGTGAATGGTCAACAGCATGAACTGGCCGACCTCTACCGAGGATTGAACCCTGATAGTCAAGCCCATAGCCAGTCACTATGCAGACAGAGCTACCCAGTTCATGACCACACAAGTGAAAAGTGCCTATTTTCCTTAAGAAGGTGTAATTTCCAAATGACAAACAACAACCACTTTAAACTTAAAATGTAGAAATGGCTGTAGGCTTAATTACAGGAATTTGAAGTTACATGAAAATATAAATATATTTAATATACGTAAAACTGTTTATACTATGCTTATAACAAGAAATTAATTATGTTGCACCAAAGTTTTAATTCTATACTCAACATCTTTAAAAAATTTTTAGTGTTTTGCTCATAGAATATTCACTGGCAAAAGTATGAATGTTAAATTGACATTTTCCATTACACCGTTTGAAACATCTTTAAAAAATCCCCAATCTGCGAGGCCACCGTGACCGACCAACAAAAAGTATCTTATCATTTAATGAACAATCTTTGGTATATTGTCTTTGGTTTAGCTGCACTCCATAGGTGCAAGTACAAAGGCACTGGGATGAAGGGGAGGACCATGTGACCACCTTCTACTTATAGACAGCACAGATTTAACCCTACATATTAGATTATCAAAATATTACCTTCACCCCAATCATAAAAGTGAAACATAAAATAAAATAAATAAACTATCTTAAGATCTTTTTTGCAACTGAAATTACTGATAATGGATGTGAATGCTTCAGGGGTGAGGTAGGATGGTATCAAGTATGGATGCTCAGACTTGTAAATGTAACATCCTAGAATTGACTTAACATTATCATCAATGCTGTTACTACTATCCCATCTTCTGTCATCAAAATCATCATTATGACCAATTTTAATGTCACTTAGTTGCACCGAATCAGAATTTAAAAATTGTTACATGAGTTAAGTAAAGATATCCAAATGCAATGTCAGAATTTAAAAATTGTTACATGAGTTTATCTGCGTTAAGTAAAGATATCCAAATGCAATCTCTAAAATAAGGTTCTGAATGTGTGAGAATGCAGTCAGCTAAATATTTGTTGCTCCTTCTGCATATGTGCTACATATTAATAGTAATGACATGGTATAATAAATTAACATATTAATGTTAAATAATTTTAGAACTTCACAGCGTATCTCATTTCCAGACATCTACTCTTCTATATGTTTCTGAGCTGAAGTAAGATAAATTTGAGGTTGAGGGAAGGAAATGTTGGCGATGGGTCACCTCGGTTGTGATTCCGCGTGAACCAACATATCAGAGGAACATGCCTTCTTCAGGGCTGAAGACGGTGTTCCTCTGAAACAAAAGCACACATGGCGTCACAGCCCGGAAGACCTACCATTGACAAAACCTATGAATCTCTATCACAGTTGGTTTCCACATTTGTTCGCCTGCTTTCAACTTTCAGCTTCGTCTACGCTGGTCCTGCTCGCATGCTATCATCATCTTCTTTCATCCAGTATCCTGTTATCCCAAAGAATAACAGATAAGAATGGTCACTGCCTCACGTACGAGCCATCGAGCAAGTGCACACGCAGTTGCTGGTCATGACTTGGACGCCACGGTTCCTAAGAAGCATCAACTCATATCTTAGCCTCTGGTTCTCTCGCTCCAAGAATTCCTTCCAGAGAGCAAGTTCATCTTCTTTTGCTCTACGGGCGTCTCTCGATCGCTTTGCAGCTTCATTGTTCTTCCTCCGTTTCTCCAAATATGCGGCGTCCTTTCCATTCGGAGAACTTTGTTCAGAGGTCGATGACGATGGCTGAGGGCTGGGGGAGAGCTTCTTTGCTGGACGCTTCTTATCCTTACCACTCTTTGTCACAAGTTTAGCTTGTGCATATACCTCCTCTTTAAAATGTCCAAAAGACTCGCTGTACAGCGCGCTTACTTCTCCTATATCGAAGGACACAGCTTTGAAGGGTCTCGTACATTTCTTAGTCTGATTTTCAACTGAATTTGGTATGGGGAGGGGATTTGCTAGATGCAGCATGGGTTCAAGACCTGGTGCTGGGGAAGGAGATGATGGTACAGTGGCACTGTTACTTGATAGGCTGTTTTCTGGTGATGAACCTGATTCCAAGGTCAATGGAACTTCAGTTGATGGAATGGCATGGTACAGCATGTACTGTGGAAGATAAGGAAACTGTAATGAATCTCCAGAAGTAGAAGGGAGAGGAACGGGTTGAAAAGAGATCACAGAAGACGATGGCACCGGAATGGTACTTGAGACTGACACCGGGGTAATTATTTTAGAAGGTTGTACGGGTGTATCTGTTGGCTGAGGAAATGCATTGACATTTGTATGTAATGAAATATGTGAGTATGGGACGGAAGGATGAAGTGTTGAAGTTGAAGGCCGATGATGATTCATAATGACGGGAGGCGGTGATTCAGTACGGCATTCCCGTTTGACAACTCTTTCGCTGGGACGACTGACACGGAGGTCTAAAACGTCGTCTCCGTGTTGAACGTCGTGTTGTGGTTGCATAGTTGAAAACGTCAAGTCGATTGCTTGCTGATTCTGCTTCATTGCTGGAATTTGCAGCGATGATATATTCTCGTTAGAAGCCCCCTGCATGGCGCTGGTAACCCAAAATGAAACTATTCCTGCGGAGGAAAATAAATATATTAATGCCAAGGAGAAGGTAACTCATGTGACAATACTTTTCAAACAATAAAAACTGATATATTACTCTGTGACAAGCCACTCATATTTAGAATATTAGATTTGTATCTTATATGCGTCATGTTTGTGTTTGATTAAATATATTTATTTTGTACAGTCTATACACAAACGTTTGAAGTTTATTGGTGTTGTAAAAATTATATAATATTATAACATTTTGTTGTGTAAAATATAATATAATATAAATATAATATATTGTATCAAATACCTAATAGTTTTTAAAATATTTTAAATTGATAAAAACCTGAAGACGACGGTATTACCCGTCGAAACATGTCGTTTTAATAAAAGCGCTAAAAATATATAATGTAAAATCGTATTTACGATTAAGAGCGCTGATATAATATTTTACACAACAAAATGTTTTAATATTATATAATTTTTACAACACCAATAAACTTCAAACGTTTGTGTATAGACTGTACAAAATAAATATATTTAATTAGAATATTAGGTTTTCCAAGTGGACATTTTTCAAATAAAATTCCGTGCACATTTCGCATCTTTCCAATGTGCTAGACTCCTCGTAAATATAATAATTTATTTGGTTTTACATCCATTAAAAACAGCTAAAAAAGAGTTTTTAATTTTTTTAAAAAATACTTACGCTCTTAGCCAGTAGCAGGGAAAACAAGAAAAGACAGTCAAGTGAATGGTAATATATATTACCCCTAATTTTCTTAATGAATGCAAATTTGTGATTTATTACCGTCTGAATACAGAGAAAATATTTAGCGACTGTGCCGTTAGAAACTCGTCGACAGAGGCAGGGATCGCGCATAACGGAAAGGCTGTACGGCCAAGTATCCCCACCGAATAATTCTCACGAAGTAACAAAGAGAGTTGAAAACAGAAAATACTTTGTTACTTAAACATTTTCCTGATTAATGCAATGAAACCTTATGCGACAAAGTATGCAGAGTGTTTAACGCAAAAGCTGAACGAAACACACTAAAGACGTGTTTTGTTTTACTAAAATTATGTTTCGAGTTGGTGTTTCCTGGAATTCAGAACAATCGGTAAAGGATGGATTCCCGCTACAAATGGGGAAAAATTAATTTCGTCTGTCCATCGAACGTATTGTAGAAATCAGCAAGAGATTAGATTACGTACGTAGAATAAACTTACGACGTTTTTCAAGCTAAAGCGAGATTCTAAAGAACGGAAAAATGTGTTGATTAGGATACATTTACAGTCTGCAGTACAAGGCAAGAATATGGAACGCGTAATATTTGCGGTTCTCACGAAGATGAACGTCTTATGGGTTCTTACGCCGTATAGTCTGATAGAAGTTTACCAACGTTTCGGAGGTCCTTGTTGCCTCCATCATCAAGGAGGCAACAAGCAAAGCGTAAAAGGAAATCTTCCAGTGTTTTACCTAAATACTTTTATATCATGATTTAAACTTTAAATGCTTCCTGGAAGAATAATGAATTACTTTATCCCGTATATCAGGCACATTTCTGATAAATATTTCGCTTCGTACTCGGCATGTGGAGGTCATGTGCTTATGCTATGTATGCCAGAAGTTTATACTTTTCAATGGAAAAAAGTGAAATATTTAACAATTATTTATTTTAATCCGTCTGATCACAATATTTAAAATTTCTTATAATTAAGCTAATAAAATATCATTTATGTTCCATATCGATTTACATTTCGGAACATTTACACAACATGTTTCGGTTTTTATAAAACCATCATCAGGTGTAAAATATATCTAAGAACTTAAAACTCAATTATGATTTCTGTAGTTTTTTTGGTGATGTTTCATTACGTTTGTTTTTTTCCATTTTTGGGCGAACGTAATGAAACATCACCAAAAAAACTACAGAAATCATAATTGAGTTTTAAGTTCTTAGATATATTTTACACCTGATGATGGTTTTATAAAAACCAAAACATGTTGTGTAAATGTTCCGAAATGTAAATCGATATGGAACATGAATGATATTTTATTATCTTAATTATAAGAAATTTTAAAACAAAAAATATTTATCACACCGCCACATAAAACAGAGGTTTTGTGTCTGTAATATCAGACACAGGGTGTTTCAAGTAAAATATATTGATGCAAAATTTTAATCTTCCAAACTGCGTGTCAGAAAAGATGATAAAATTGATAGAAGCTTATTAATTTAAAAGACGCTTAAAATATGTTCACACAAAAAAAAATCTTATCTTCTAAAATGTGGAAGACAGAGGCCAGTAGTGTTACCAGATGTAAATCTTGAATCAGAAGAGACGATGTGGATCTCCCGTCGCAGTCTTGCGCCGAAGTTCCCCAAGAACCAAACACTTCAACACATTCACTCAAAATGCTGTCTATCACCAGAAAACAGATGAAATAAGGATTGCGGAAACACTGGTCAACCCCTGCCAGCCAATCAGTGTCCAGAGGGACGGTCCGGTCAGGAGAAGGGGTTATTTTTGGCAGAAAGGGACACGTGCCATTTGGAAGGGTTGAAGGAAGTTACTGTTCTAGCCAAAGACATTCATCCTCTCCTGTGACCGGATGGTGGAAGATGAGATGAGACAGATAAGGATTTTACAGAAATGTGAAAATGCTCGTCTTCTGAGATGTAACACCGTGTAGTTGAATAGTAATTGACCGACGTTTCAGAGGTCCCTTCTGCCTCCATAATCAAGGTGATGAGTTTCGCACAATACGTGCATACACACATCAGAGCACTTGAGAAGCTCGTAGTCGCTCAGTTGGTCATAAAATTTCCCGCATTTCATGGAACCCGAAGATCCATTGCCGCTGTCATAACAGTCCTTCACCAAACGCCTGCTTCGTATTCGGAAGGTCCCGGGCATATATCTAGGCCATGACTGAGTCTTTTCGTAGTTTTACTCAGTCCCTCCGTGCAAATTCCGGGACAGTAACTTAATCTACATTCTGCACCCCTTGTCGATCGCTTCTTCCATGTATACCATACATGTCCAGAAGCCGCCTGGTCTATCCCCAACCTGAGGACACACGCCATGACGTGGTAAGTGACCCGACTGACGAGTAAAAACATTTTTTAACCTCGTTCTACTATCGCAGTTTGCTTCAATGGGGCGGCGCAAATGCTGTCAAAAGCGCCTGTGGATGCCGACTAGACTGCTCTGGCCAACAGATGTGACGGAGAAGTTGCCGAACGAGCAAGGCGTTACGTATTTCAGTAAGAATTAGGTAAGAGGAATCCAAAGGCGTTCAAAGTAGCTTTCGACGCGAGTCCACAGAGCTCTTAGGTACTGGTAGCAAGAAAGTATAATTAAATTACTGGCACAGTATCTTACGTATTGAATTATAACCCGAAATTTCATTACCGCAACCACAAAAGTCTACCATTAACGTAACTGACTTCTGATCACATTTTCAAGATTGATCTTGTGAATACGGTAATGAACATAATGGTTTAATAAAAGACGAGGGATTTGTTGGATAGTTAAGCGTACTGTTAGCTTCTGAAGAAGGAGTTATTTATCGGTCTGTAAATTTGTTGTGGGCGTTTTAATATGGCTTAAGACCGAACATTATGTTTTTGGTATAAGTAATACGCATTTGTACCGTAGTTGTTTATAATGAGTTGCTAAATGACTGCGGTGGTGGGAAACATGGCATGGAAAGGACTGTGCAAAGTTTCCTTCTTGCATACAGCATCTTCGTGCAAGACGAGAATACATCTCATGCCACGTCATGATTAATGGATTCTTCCAGCAGTAAGTTTCGTCTTGCAAACCCACCGAAGCGCACTTGTTTGAGGGTGTACCGACACGAGTAATTTGGAGTTTTTTCACAGCGGTTACACCTCATAGTAACGTAAACAGTTATAAGCGTTTCGGCAGAACTTGTTGATTCCATCTTCATGGCAGATGTACAAACACTGTTTCCATGAAGGTTGCAGTGGAGCCCGGGAGATATAAACGGTCGATTAAGATGTCTGAGGGCCCCGAGAAGAACATTCGAACATAAGAGACAGGAAGCTACAAGAGAATAAATAGTCTCATGACGAGAAGCTTCATAATTTAAGGTGATGAAATTACGGAGCGTAAAATGTACGGGGTATATAGCACTCAGAAGACAGATGAGAAATTCACACCAATTTCTGTCCTAAATATTTCAAAGACCTAGAAGTAGATGGAAGCTAACTAACTAGATGGCTTAGGGAACCTGAAGGTTCATCACCGAACCAACCAAAGCCCTCCACCGGACCCTGTCCTGGGCCAACAAAATCCAATTTCCTTCAACTCCTATCTCCCGTAGATCCCGCCTGACATTATCCTCCCGTCTACGTCTAGGTCTCGCCAGAGGTCTCTTCCCCTCAGGCTTCCCAAATAGTGGACCCAACCAACCAACCAGATGGCTTACCGAACCCGAAGGTTCATCACCGAATTAACCAAAGCCCTCCACCGGACCCTGTCCTGGGCCAACAAAATCCAATTTCCTTCAACTCCTATCTCCCGTAGATCCCGCCTGAGATTATCCTCCCATCTACGTCTAGGTCTCCCCAGAGGTCTCTTCCCTTCTGTAGCTTAGAGAAATCGGGTATGAAGGTGTGGGTTAGATTCAGCTGGTTCAAGACAGCGTCCGGAAATGGGATTTTATGAACATTCGGATCCCTGTAAAGACGACACATGTCTGTGAAGAATGTGTGTTCCGTCCGGTAGATTCAAGCCATCTGCTGTTGAGACGGTCAGTTCTGCCATCCTCACTGCGCGTTGCGTCTGCCTGTCGACAATAGTGAAAGTTCCTGTCAGCGTTGCAACCCGAGTTTCCTTCTCTTCAAGATTTGGGGAAAACACGGTCCTCCGAACTTCACAATAGTTCTCAGAACTTTTATGTTATTCGCCACTTCTCGCTTTGCGTGTGCCACGGATGGTCCATTTACCTGCTGGCGTTAGCGAACCGAGTGCAAGATGGAAGTAAGTCACTGCACGACACAACCAAAATCAACTCAAATGGTCATGGGGTACGTAAGACCTACGTATTACCTCATATCACAGACGAAATATGACTGTCTTCTGGGATGCTGTAAGTGTAGTTCAGTAGAAATTGACCGACGTTTCAGAGGTACTTACTGCCTCCATCATCAGGAAAGAAAATTTTCTGGAAACATGTATAAAGATATGAGACAAATATAACATTTTTAATTTACTCTACATTTAAAAGGGCGTCTCTCTTATTTAAATTTACAAAATTCGTGTCTTTTTCACTAAAATATGGAGCGGAAGTCGCCACTTGCAAGATCCAGGCACAGCTGGAAAGACAAATCTTATGGTATTTAGAGGATGTGGACTGGATTCAACTGGCTCAGGATATGGTCCAGTGGCGGGTTCTAGTGAACAGAGTAATAAACTTTCGGGCTCCATAAAAGGGGAATTTCACTCAATGAAAAGCGCTCAACATTCCCGATTAAAATTTTGTACGCATTTCTCTAATCGGCCATGCGTGCTATTTACATCGCCAATTTCACAGTCTTTGTTTTGGTCGCCGTGATACTATTTTTGGTGAAGATTAAAAGTTATGAACAATTTTTCTTCATCCCTCATAAGTCCAAATATTTTCGTCAGTACCCTGTTCTCAAAGGAGCTCAAAATATGTCGTTCTTTTATATGAGAGACCCGTACATGGCTGTATTCTGGTTTGTTGCGCTGTGTGGTCCGGTAGATGATTACCACTCGCCCTGGTCATGGAGATGACACTGGTAAATTTGTATACCAGACTACGCGACGCTACGCCCCAGAAGACAGCCATCTTCGAAACTGACCACAGTGAAAACCTCAAATCCTACAGAAGGCTCTCAGTTTGTTGGCGAAAGGCAATCTTGGTCTGTTATCGGCACTCCCAAATAAAATGAAGCATCACAATCATCAGTGGACCCTGACTGCCTACTTGTCACCTCGCCCTGACGTGATTCTACTGAGGACTTTCACAGTGGTTTTCAGTCAACAAAAGATTGCCGTCTGTCCCCTGACCTACATCCACGATGACCACCAGGAAGGGACGGCTTGTTGACAAGACCCCTGTGGGCGTGTGTGGAAAGGGGTGAAAATATACAATGGGGTTGCGGTTATTGTGGTAAGGACCTCGCTGTATGGCAGCCTATGTTGCAAGCTGAAACAGGAAATACGGTAACAATTCTCACCTTGCCAAAAATACCTTCTCAAAGTA